TTCTCAAGTTAGACTCGACGAGAAAGTTGTTGTCAAATCTACGAGTCCGGATCGAGATCGGGTTCAAGAATCTCAAACCCGCAGGACTCTAATTAGAACCAAACTTTCTGGTCGAGTCTAACTTGAGAAAACAGCCTATCAAAAACCGAAGAGTCAGGATCGGAAACAAACCCGATCCCAGATGAACTGAAACCCGTCCGGAACCCGAACCCGAAAATAAGCTTTCGGAATCGGGATAGGGTTAAACCCGCAGGATTCTAGTTCTGATACTAAAGAATCGAGAATTTTATTTAGATTTTATTGATACGATCTTTTTTAGATAAGCATGTACCGTTCATTTGTAGCATTAAAAGTGTCGGATGCCACAGAAACATCATTTACTCAGCACTTGACTGGAATAAAACGTCATTTTTATTTGCTAAATAATTTTCTATACGCTATTCAAACACACTATGAAAAAACACAGAAACATAGTTGTTTTTGAAACACAAAAGCATATTTTTTGATTTAGTTTTACTATGTTGAAAACCGCCTACAAAATACGCCTAATTAACGATTTCTGGCGCACTTTAATACGTATGAAAGCATTACAACTTGTTATTCGGTTAGAAAAGAGATCAGCCCTTATAAAGAAGAGCATTTTTGTAGAGCTTTAAATTCTAGTAGAATTTAAAGCTCTAACAGATGGCATCTGTTTACATAAAAAGGATAATTTTTTTAAGGACAGGCTGTGAGAAAATTACTAAAGAAAGGTAGAATGCCGTGGCCCGTGGCGTCTTTTTTGATGTTTTGTAGTTTTCGAAGGAGAAGTAACTAAGTTTGTCAAACCCAACACACCACGAGATGTTCCAAAAGATTCCATATCTCTTAGTGGAAGAAAGGAACTTTTGAACTCATTCTAGCTGGGCTAAATTGACTTTTACACGTTTTCGATTTTGCAGTTGAGCAAGGGATATTTTTGTGGCATCCAGTACTTTTAATGCTACAAATGAACGGTACATGCTTATTTAGAAAAGAACATATCAATCACAGACATACCTGGATCAGAAAAATGCTTAAAAATGTCTATTTTGGATAATTTTTTCCCAGAAAAACAGAACACTGGGAAAAACGTTTCCGCTATAAAAAATGATCAGCTCAGCGAATAGTATATGTGATAAATGTTTTAGAACTTTACACGGTAAAATGAAGGAGTCCAGTTTTGCTGGGAAACCCCATTTTGTCCAGGCCGTCGGAACACTGTGCCAGCACTTTAAATTTTTTTTGAGATGACAGCCATGCTTAGAGTAATGAGTTTTACTAACTCAGAAACTCTTATACGGTCGCATGAAGTCGATGTAATTCGGATACGCTCTCGAAAGAATCACCTGAATGTGGATTAATCGGATTCTGTTAATCGAAAATCTGACTAAAACCACGTAGTTTTCGGATGTGTTGATGACTCATAGTAGAAAAACTAGTTATATATCATACTTTACCATTACTAGCATTACATTCTTGCTTTGGTGATAAACATTTCAGATCCTTTCTACGCTTGTGCTTGTTATCACTGCCGATCTTAAGTGACGTTTTAACGATTGTAACATCGTTTTACAAGAATTTATCTTAAACAAAATCTTATTGCAAAGATAAACTGTATTTTTTACGATTGTGGGAAGCATAGATATTCAAAAGAGACACAAAAGAGAGTATATATGCACAGCAAATATTATGTAATTAGATTGCTACATCATCTAACGGTTTTCCCTTGTCTTTAATCGAAAGTCATACGAAACAGTGGGCTGTCTCCCTATATGGAAAACATGGTAGTTACAGGCCAATAATAAGCGAAGAACACAAGATAAATATGTAAAAGACCAATAAGATAAAGTCAGATATCATGCTTAAATATGTAGAATTAATGAGAATTAAATAGAGGAATGATGAAAGTTAAATTTCTAGAAGACGCTTTATAGTGTAAAATAACGAAAAATTTCTCAAAAACAGGACTTTTTCGTCTGAAAAAAGTTTTCAGGTAAGACACAAGAAGTTTATACCAAAATTATCGATCGAGCATCGACGAGAGTAGGTCGTATTGTCTGTATGAAACGAAGAATAAGAGTTATGTACAGCGACTGAGGATCGGCAATTAAAATATGAAAAGTCCGACAAATTTGGAACTGAATCGAAATAATCTTTTGTCATTAGATAGCCCAAATATTGGAGATTTTCTTCTGATGCTTGTTCAATGAAACAATTTCTTGATGTAGTAGAAAAGGTTGTATCGTTGGAATCGAAGCGATTATTGAGCAAACTTTTTTAGCATGAGTTTTTCAGTGGTCCTTTTTAGATAAAAATCTGTTCCTGTTAAAATCTTCTCCGGTTTATGGAGACGATTTTCAATAATTCATTATTTCTTGAATTTTTTTTGTGCTTCGACATGCACCGATGTCAAATTCATAATTCGCGTATGATTCCTCGTATGAAACTGACTCTTGAAATATTATTTAGAGTCTGATTCTATATCATATGGTCAAAGCAAAAATTCATAATTAACTAATTTCGCAACAAATTTTGCAAACCTATTTAGCTTTTCTTTTAACGAACGGAGGCGTGATTTACACCGCATTCGATTCGTCTTTGCACGGACGAAAAAAGTAAGCAGAGCTTTTCTTAAAATTCCTTTCTACTGTTGAGAAAATTCATTTTTTCTGAATAAGACGAGAAAAATTTACAATTATGCCCGTAATTCTCAAGTTTCTTTATCAAAACTCAAGTTTTATGCAATAAAAATATCATATTCGGAATTAGAATCAAAAGCTGAGTGGAATGATGTGTATTTCGAAACGTTTAGCTGATTTTTATTTTTTGGAGAAAAATCTTGATAGTTTTTCAATGCGAAAATTCGACAAAAAATTAAAGTAGTCAGATAGGATCAAAATGCACAGCATTCGACTCAGCTTTTGATAAATGCTCTCCATAAATGCACAACACCCCGCTACTCGCAGCTCTGCAAAAAAGATCCTCTTAGTAATTTAACATTTTCTTCTACGTACCAATCGATGGAGAATTATCAACTATACAAAATAATATAATTTATTTTTTGGTCAAGCTGGACCAGGGCCGCAAATAAGAGCCGAACATTACGGGGGGTGGAAACTAAAATTTCTCTGAGGTAGTGTAAATTGATAAAAAAAGATTTGTGCGAGGAGTAATGGATAAAATAACAACAGCCTTTTCTATTATTCGGGGGATGCGCACCCTTCCACACCCTCCCATTATTTGTGCCTTTGAGCTGGACTGTAAGGATCAAGTTGTTCTAAGATATTAAAGAAACATTGATTTCATCCACAAATGGAGCTTCTGGCAATGACTGAAAAGTTCAGACCCCTAATGCATGAATAGTGCCATACGAAGCCGAGATATCTTGGATTTCTTAGTTTTTCGATGAGCTCTTTGGAACTAGAGTACTAACAGAAAAAAAAAATTAGCTCCGGCCACTATTCCATTTGCAGGTCAGTTTTCTGGCAGACTCTCCTTTAATATTTGTTTTTTTGAATTGTTTGTTTAAAGATGCTTATTCAGCACTGGAAAAATCAAGTTTGTGTCTCATTTGGCTGTCTAGCTACGAACGAAACAAGACCAAAACAGAGTGATTTTGGCCCCGCCTCTCTAAAGAAATGGGTTTTTTTCTCCATATTGTTTAAAGATTACTGAATTATACTTAACGGAATTTTAGCCCGAAAACAGGGCTATCAAATTATGTACTTTGATTTTAAGTAGAATTAAATTTTCCATAAAAGCTGGGGGAAAAACTGTCGTTATAGACACTTTTCAAAATTTTGTCCCCGGAACTTCAAGACGCACTCCATGCGACATAGAGGGTTCAAAACATTTTCGAAGGAGGCAGAAAAATAGAGCAAGAGTAGCCCTACATTTTTCTAAAAGAACTTTTTCCTAAAGTTTTATGTCTGAATAAAAACCGTGTTTAAATATGCTATACGATGTTGTTTTCACACAAAATGTTCTGCGAGATTTAAACAATTATTTTGTCTATAACTCGACGATGAGTGGCCCATTTGAGCTCAAACTTTTATCCATTTTTCCTTCTTGGACGATTAGTATGTGATAAGAAAATGAGCTTTTGGAAGCGCTTCATTCCTGAGAAAAGCACGTTTTACAGCAAAAATGTCCTGCGAGATTTATTCGGTCTATAACTTATAAACGATATACAATCACTTTGCTGCCAAATGTGGTTTAAAAAACATCCATTCTTTTTTTTTACCGACAATACTCAGAGATTGTGTAACTCTTGGAAAAAATCAAATTTCTCAGCCAATATACGAGCAAGTGTTGGGAAATTTTTTCCTCATAAACCTCGAAAGCAGTACTACATAATATATGGTTCAGAACTTTTGTATTCTCAAATTGTTTTTTTTTCGTTTTTTTTGAAACGGTACAATCCCAATGTAATTCTCTCATATATACGAAAACGTACAGAAATCTGGAAATACGCTATTTCCCCCTTGAATTAATGTGAGTTCATATTTGTTATTCTGAACCTATATGTTTCCATAATAATTAATGCAACCGTTTAAGAAATATTTGTTCCTTTGAATGACCAAATGTCGCTTTTCCGAGATTTTGGTATCTTTTCGTCTTAAATCTTAAGTGTTATATTGTGCGGATATCTTTATTGAATTTACTTTTTTGGTTAATTAATGCAAATCTTACAACGAAAAGCATTGACAGATATTACGAAGTCTCTTGAATAAGCATAATTTTCTTGGATAGTGAATCAGTAGACGATTAATTTGCCTTGTTGCTTCCATTTTTGTCCGATTATTAGTTGCGGAGGCGCCGATGAGCTAAGGGCTATGCCATAATGGTTTTCAGTGGTCAAGCGATTTATTAGTTTTGGTTGTTCTGGGTCGCTCAAGTCCACAATGATGATTTCCCGTTCACTGTCTTTGCCATTCGGATTTGAAGCGTATTTAATATGAAGAAACTGTTCATTGTCTAACAGCACAGAATAAATTTTCGATGTGTGTTCGGTACCGAGACGAGTAAACTTTTCCAAACTGATTTCGGCATACAATGAGTAGTCTTGCCGATTGATCAACTGCAGCAGATATTTGCTGAACATAACTGTTAAATATCGAGAATTTGACGTACTAATATCATAAGGAGAAATATCCCTCTTCAGCTCTTTCAGTAGTTCCAACATGTATGGTGAACCGTGTATATTATATAGTCGACACTGATTATTCACGTGGCTGCATACCCAGATGTAATTTTTGGTGCTACTGTCAGCCGTGATCTGATTTGGCAGATCACAAAATTCAAATTTATTCATAAATTTGCCACCATGACCATGAATAGAGAGATCTTTTACTGTAAGATTTTTATCTTGGTGCTGCTGATCGCGTTCGTAAGCGATGATGAAATCTTTTGTTACAGCGACACATGATACATGATATCTGATCTCCGACAGTTCAAATTTTTTATGAAGTTTTAATTTGCGGCCTACTAGTGTATAGCAGCGGACATGACCTTGATTGTTTGAAACGAATAGTCGATCGTTGATTACGCATATATAATTTGGTATTATGTCAACATCAGCTGGATACTGACCTTGTTTCCGTAGTTTTTCATAATGGTTTTGACGGCACGCATGGCTTGACATTTCCAGCTGGATTGCTAGCGTAGCTCGCGCCGAAGGTTGATGTTTAGGTGAAACAAGTTGCCATCCTGAAGTTGCTGGTGGCATTATAGAACCAGTGTTTGTTTTTTTAACGGGATCAAGCTTTATCGGATCCAGATGGCTTGTATACTCATCAGCTGGTAAAATTGATGCGACTTTCGCTGTTGAGAAAGAAGACGATGACGCCTTGTTTGGCTCTTCCGAATGTCCCAAGAGAAAGTTGTTTCCGTCATCATATTTAAATTCGAACTAGGAGAAAAAGTAAGAATAAAATTTTCTGAATTGAAACTAATTTCGACCATGGTAGGAAAGGAAGAGGCTCTCGAGAAACTCGACGTTAGCTTTTATCTAAAGTTTTTTCTTTCTTAAAGGAATACAAGAAAAATCCCACTATATTGTTATGACAAAACAGAAAACTATGTTATTCCTAACGGTTGTAGATGCAATATCGTTCTTTGGTATGATATTTTCAGAAAATAGAGAGGCTGTGAGTCACAGGTCTGGAATGTTTACTGTGTCTTGCACCTAGGACTATGCATATGTGTTGAAAATTCCACCTTCGTAACGGATGAAACGAAAATACTATTTTTAGTGAGAGCGTAGTGTTAAGTATGCAATCTTATTTTGCTTCCATACTTAGTATTTTATTGAAGCAAAGCAGAACAGTTTCGACCTGGTCGGTCGTTAAGTTAAAATTTTGGAAAATATGATGTCTACTGTTAGTTTATAGTGTTTTAAATAAATACCTATTCTGTTCCTACAACGCAGCAGACAGAGTGTTACAAAATATTTGCAGAATAGAACTTATGTGGAACCTGCCATATCTAGTGACGAGGAGAGTTGCAACTCTTCGAGATAAACTATATCATATAGTAAAGTTAAAATTTAGAGGAACGCTGTAGAAGCTTACACTCTGACTCCCTTCCTTTGCTGATGAGTATTCAAAGATTTTGTTAGATAAGATAGCATTTTTGGGTCGTTTAGTGTGACAATATCCAAGATAAATGATTTTTAGATGGTAGCAACCTAAAACGAACACCCCAAATGTTCATAAAATCAACAGCAAGTCCTCCTTAAAACCAACATATCAAAAACGGCGTAGGGGCTAATCTGGAAAACTCCCTTTGATTTCGATAGCACAGAGTTTAAATTCAGCAAAATAACTTGCCGGAAACCCAAAAACATTTGAGGTTACCAAAATCGATCATAAACCTTATTGCTTCGAAGAAATCTTTGGAGGATTGTCTAAAGGGTTTAGCTTGATGCTAAATCCTCAAACGGTTTTCTTGTATCATTTTCTTTTTGCTGTTTATCCTGTTTCCGAGCAGGAATGCCAGATGAGCTAATAGGAACCTTAACGAAGCGTGGCACCAAGTTTTATGAGTTTAATACTAGACTTTTCTACAGGTCGTGACTATGCCAAGGGAACTTTTGTTTCACTTTTTTCTATCAAAGTAAAGAGGATTTCTACTCATTCATACATAATTTAATGCGCCCCAAAACACTCTACAATATATGTTAATAGGAGACTTAATCAAGCTTGGCAGCGATTTGGGGGTTTTAAATACTGTGCCGCTGAAGCCTGCAGTGGATCCAAAATTGTTCACCACCTTTATTTTTGATTTTACCCATCGACGATAACAGCTAGAACAAATCTGAAAAAAGATATGAATAGCTGAAAGAATGTCCGATCGAAAGTGTTGTATAAAATGGTTTCATCAAAACTCCTGAAATCAGGGTCTCTGGAAAACTAAAATCTTAGAAAATGGAGTGCCCGAGTTCAATTCAGAAATTCTTTACGAATACGTCTATCGTGTAGAGCAAACATTTTGAAGAAAATGAGACGTTTCCGAGCTCTTTATCACATTTTTTCGTCAAACAGCGTTCAGTTTAGGTGGTCCACACTGCGGCAGTCCAAATTCGAGTAGTCCAAGTGCGAGCAGTTCTCGTCCGAATGCACTCAGTTCTTTTTGGGTTGTGATGAAAGTTCGCGATGCGGAGTGACGAAAATTGTAGATATGTCATAAAGCTGATTACGAAAGTTCACCACTCTTGTGACCAAAGTGTCGGGTGGTACTCCCCAAAATACCATACATTTTCGTCACGTATGACGAAAGTTCTTTTTCGTATGTGACGAAAGTGCTAACACCCGTTCGGTGTGGGAAAAAGCCTAGCCGCTATCTTCGCTGCTGGAAGAAACTTCTATTTTTAGAAGTGGATCGCAGTGTGGATCCCATACCAGCAAAACTGACTGGAAATACCTTCCGTAAACTGAATGCTGCCCGACAGTTCGAGTAGCATGTCGGCGACATATGGGAAAATCTAGTATTTGATTCAGAACGGTCGCTGCTAGGCTTCGTTAAAGTTCCTGTTGACATACCTTGTAGAGCTTTTCAAGATGCATCGAATGGTGTATGCATGATTAGGGATCATCTTTATTTTCATGGAAAAAAGTGATTGACAGTTGGGGAGACATAGCGGCGACCGGTGGAAAAAAACTAGTATTTGGTTCATAATGGCTGCAGCCAGGCTTCGTTAAGGTTCCTATTAACTCATCTTGTAGAGCTTTTCAAGACGCATCGAATGGTGTATTACACTAGATTAAATGCTGTATAGTTGCGGCGAAATTTTGACTTTACCGTAATACTGATAGTGTAACGGGGGTGTTTCTCTGCGAGTAGATTTGATCGTATACGTCCAATCGAAATAGTGCGATACAGTCGAAAGTACTAAAGAAGATAAGTTTGATGAATTCTGGATACTTTGAGGCAATAAAATAACAATAATTTAGTGGACCGATTTCAAGTCTTATGTGGACTACTCCTTTTAAAGAAAATCTTAAACCTTATTTTCTACTTCATATTTTCATTTTTTCTGCTGTATCACTACATTAGCAAGCTCTGCAGTACTATGTAAGTACCAGAGTTGCTGAAATTGCATGAGCAACCATACATTCAAACGCAGTGTAAAAATTTCACTGTAAAATTTTCAATATTCTGTAGGGCAAGTAAGGTGACCTTTTTTAAGCTAGAATTTTTTAAGTAAGGTAGTTTTCACAATAGTTGAAAAGCACATGAAGACAAATCATGGATATCCGAAATCGATCTGTCTATCCAACAGACGCAAGAATAGTAACGTGGGCTAAAAGAAAATCTTCTTTACGAAGGGGTTTTATTCTATCATCACTGCAACATAATATGATCTAGGGAAATGCGATCAACATCTAGCAAACTAGCTAATAGGTCAAATAATGTTCACTATGTAGGTCATAGTTCACGAGAAAATGCTTAACAGTTGTCTTGCAACTGGGAGACTGCAGTAATTGTGTAGTATATGGGACATTGTTTAACTATGGAAAATCCACACGACAACAAGTAAAATCAATACCAAGTATACGATCTTCCTTAGATAGTGCTTATAGTCTCCAGGTAAAAATAATATTAGTTTGAAAATTTTTCCTAAACTTTTAGAAGCACCCATCGCCAAAAATGATAAACGGCAACTTGTCCTTAGCAAAGTGCCTCCCAGACATTTGCCTCTCGGATTTTTTTTCCTCGACGGACATTTGCTCCTCTGACAGTTGCGCCTTCTTGTGGGGAACAGTTTGTTCTTAATTGTTTTCAGGAACCATCCGGCTTGTCCAAACGTAACGTTGTTACGTTTCTGACACACTTTTTTTTCAATTATCTCGGAAAGTTTGAGAGCTAGAAAGTTCATTCAAACGCCATTCGGCGCAGCTCATCATACTCTATTGATTACACAGCAATGCTTTGGACGTCCATCTTACTGCTCTTCAACGCTAGACGCTCGTTAGTTTTCCTTATCAATTGTCCCGCTTCTTAAACTCATCTCTGGAATTTCAAATGACGGAAACTGATCAATGAGTATGTCGATTTCGTTTATGATTGTTAATATATATCGTGTTGCTGCTAAATTATCGTTGTTCTTATCGCGGAATGTGTTCTTTGACGAATTGCCTTGTACCTGTTTATACACATTATTTTCCTCAAGTTCATCCCAAAGTGTTTTAAGATTCTGCAATGACTTAATAAAGCAACACAATAAATACTAATAGTTGATCGGTTAGTGCTGCATACTTTGAGTGTTTAAGTTTTATTTCTTCTGTTCTGCTACAAAAATTCTGCCATCGATCTTCTAAGCTCTTCTTCAAAGTATTATACGTCGTATTGCTTCTCGCCATTGCTACGGTAAGCTGATTAATCGAGTTTACCGACGACTCTCGATGAAAACCTAATAATAATAAAAATAAATCACGAATCATGTTAAGAAACTCTTAGACTAACATTACTTGTTTTTTTTCTGATATGTACTATCTTATTCTGCATTTCTTGATCGCAGTTTTCGATGCACTCTTCACATTTTGCTTCGTCACAGATATCACAAGCTAAAAGTTCACGTTTCTCGCGACATTTTACAAGCCAATCATCAACGACGTCAGAATATAGGAGGAGAGTCTTGATATAACCGTCTAGATGTCACTGCAGCAAACGGGTGCTCGTTTGACTTTCCGAGAACCCCTTTTGGCCAGAACCTTTTGTTTCGTTCAGAAGAGTCCCTATAATTAGACCTGTACTTTTACCTGAGAAAATTAGTCTCACGCACAATCGCAATCAAGTTCATCTGCCGATACGCATTCCAAAGAGAAAAGCTTTTTCAGTTTTCAGCCACGGGTGTTAGGTAAAGAAGGATTCTCAGTCCCATAACCTTTAAAGAATGTCTACGATCGAACGATAAAAAAAACAGGATTTGCTTCGAATGTCTGAATTCTGTAGTCTGTGATTGAACACTTTTGATAGCAATTATTACATGTCGGACCTCTTGGACATTCTAGGCACGAGCCTGGTTTTAATTCAACAGAGTAGCTTGTTTGCGGAGCTGTACAGCGTTCTCAGCTCGTATTTCAGAAAGAGTTGTTCAACAGCTTAGCTTCGTTCTACGATCCGATGTTAAAATATTTCTCTTGTTATTAAGGCATGTCGTCGGCACATCCATAAATAACAGTTTACTATGGATTTTCCACACGTTTTTCCAAAACATCTAACACC